CCCACATGAATGAAAATTGATTTTCGAGACTTAAAAAAAGACACGAAGATAGGAGGACACGTTGTGTTCACCGGATGATCCTTGCATACGGAGAGGTAGGTTTTATCCTTTGAACCTTCCGTTGTAAAGACACGTTTATTTACTGGCTGTCTAGTAGACTCGATGTCCTTGAACTATACTGCCGTCGTGTAAACATTGACTTATCTTTACACAAGAACCTTCCAACTTGTTCCGTTCTCATGGGTGTGCCCGTTTTGGCCATGGGTCACCGTCCTGGTTCTGCAAGAGTTTCTAAAGAACTGAGCCTTTACAGTTCTCCTTTGAAGCGGCCCTCTTCTCTCTCACATAGGTGATTCTTTCACGAGTATCCCGCATACTCTTCCAATGTTATCGAGTAGATCAACATTTTAGAATCATTAAAGCAAACGTTTTTGCTAACCTCGTGCGGGAGTCACTGTTTTAACGAGGAGTGGGTAGGAGTCCGGGACCCCCACAGTGACCATCCTTCGCTCTATAATTTAGTTGTCCCTTTTGAACCTAGGACCAACTAGGTTGGGTATCCACTATAGAACTTTTCAATTCACGGGCTTTAGTCCCATTCCTCGTGACAACTTCTCCAACAATTCTCTATCCAATGCCTTGGTTAGCGGATCCGCTATGTTATCCTTTGACTTCACGTAGTCAACAGTGATAACACCCGTTGTGAGGAGTTGTTTAATGGTGTTATGTCTACGACGAACGTGTCTAGACTTACCATTGTAGAGATTGCTCTGTGCCCTTCCAATTGCCGCTTGACAATCACAATGAATGCATATTGGAGGGACAGGCTTCTCCCAACTTGGAATATCCTCGAGAAAATGGCGTAGCCATTCAGCCTCTTCAGTGCACTTATCCAAGGCTATTAGCTCAGATTCCATCGTGGATCTAGCTATTAACGTTTGTTTCGAGGATTTCCACGACACGGCTGCACCTCCCAAAGTGAAAACATATCCACTTGTGGACTTAGAGTCCTTTATGTCGGATATCCAACTAGCGTCGCTATACCCTTCAAGTACAGCTGGATATCTTCCATAGTGCAGTCCAAGGTTTTGGGTTTTACGTAAATACCTCAAAACCCGTATTATTGCCTTCCAGTGTTCATCACCGGGGTTGCTAGTATATCTACTTAGCTTACTAACCACAAAGGCAATATCAGGCCTGGTACAACTCATCAGATACATCAAACTTCCAATAATCCTAGCGTATTCTACTTGAGAAATACACTCTCCACGATTTTTGGTAAGATGAGTGTTTTTATCTAATGGCGTCCTTGCCTCTTGATAATCATCCTTATTAAATTTAGTAAGGATTTTATCAACGTAAAGGGATTGGCTTAGCGTTAGGCCGTCAGGTCTTCTAATTATTTTAATCCCAAGGATTAAATCGGCCAGCCCCATATCCTTCATGTCAAATTTTGAATTTAACATGTTTTTGGTAGAATTAATCATTAGATTATTGCTACCCACGATGAGTATATCATCCACGTATAAACATAAAATGACATAGCCGTTTACCGTGCTTTTCACATAGACACATTTGTCACTTTCGTTTATCTTAAACCCATTAGGTAACATTGCATGATCGAACTTTTCGTGCCACTGTTTAGGGGCTTGTTTCAATCCATACAATGATTTAATTAATTTACAAATCTTCTTTTCTTGGCTTGGAACACGAAAACCCTCGGGTTGTTCCATATAGATTTCTTCGTCTATATCGCCATTTAGAAAAGCGGTTTTTACGTCCATTTGATGAACTTCCAAATTCCGCAAAGCGGCAATCGCTAGTATCATCCTAATGGAATTTATTCTCGTCACGGGAGAATACGTGTCAAAGTAATCATGGCCCTCGCGTTGCTTGTATCCCTTGATTACAAGTCTGGCCTTATACTTATCAATGGAACCGTCTGGTTTCATTTTACGTTTAAAAATCCACTTGGATCCCAAAGGTTTACATCCCGGAGGGAGATCAACCAATTCCCACGTGTGATTTTTTAGGATAGAGTCCACCTCACTTTTGATGGCTTCTTTCCACATAGGACCTTCAGTTGACGTCACGGCTTCCGTATAAGTCCGTGGCTCATTTTCTACCAAACATGTTAGAAAATCCGGTTCATTTTCTACCATACATGTTAGAATATCCGATTCAAATTCTACCAGGTAGGTGAGAAAATCCGGTCCGAAGGATTTTTCGACTCTAGCACGTTTGCTACGTCTGGGTTCGGGTTCTTCTCCGGATCCCTCGCTAGTATTTTCCATAGCTACGTCAAATGTTCGTTTTGACGTGCTTGGTCTTCGTTGGACTTGCATGGAAATACGTCTTCAAAGAATGAAGCATTCCTCGATTCAATTATTGTGTTTTTATGTACATCCGGATTATTCGAATCGTACACTAAAAACCGATACGCACTACTATTTTGTGCATATCCAATAAAAATACAATCCACCGTTTTTGGACCTGTTTTTATTTTCTTAGGTGTTGGTACAAGCACCTTAGCAAGACACCCCCACACTTTTAAATATTGATAGGAAGGCCGTCTGTCTTTCAACAACTCGTACGGAGTTTTATCATATTTTTTCCGGGGAACCTTATTTAAAAGGTAATTGCTTGTCAAGATTGCTTCGCCCCACATATTTTGTGGCAAGCCCGAACTTACTAGCATCGCATTCATCATATCTTTCAATGTGCGATTATTTCGTTCGGCAACACCGTTTGATTGAGGTGAATAGGGTGCGGTACGTTCGTGTACTATACCCACACTAGCGCAAAAGTCACCAATTGGTGCTTCATACTCACCACCTCGATCACTTCTAACCGTTTTAATCCTTCGATTAAGTTGGTTTTCCACTTCATTCTTATAAAGAATGAATTTATCGATTGCTTCGTGTTTATTTTTTAATAAATAAACGTAGCTATAGCGAGTGCTATCATCGATAAAGGTAATAAAATATTTATTACCGCCGCGTGTTTGTGTTGATTTAAAATCACAAACGTCACTATGAATTAATTCAAGTGGTTCCGTTTTTCTTTCAACCGATTTGAAAGACGTTTTCGTTAGTTTTGCCTCTACACAAACTTCACATTTATGCTTCACATCAATTGTGAATTTAGGAATGTGCTCCATGTTAATTAATCTACGTATAGAATTAAAATTAACATGTCCTAGTCTACCATGCCACACATTGGAAGACTCAAGCAAGTAAGCAGAAGGGATTTTATTATTATTATTAATAATAGTCATTACATTGAGCTTAAACAGCCCATCACATGTATACCCCTTTCCCACATACATTCCCGATTTAGACAAAACTAATTTGTCCGACTCAAAAACCATGCGGAAGCCATGCTTGTTCAACAACGAACCGGAAATCAGGTTTTTGCGTATCTCCGGAACGAACAGCACTTGGTTTAGAGTCAGCTCCTTGCCCGAAGTCATCTTCAGGACCACTTTGCCCATGCCTTCCACCGCGGAATGAGCAGAATTTCCCATCCACACCTTTTCACCATTTGATGGCTCAAAGGTCGTGAATAGCTCCCGGTTTGAGCAAATATGCCGGGTAGCACCGGTGTCCACGAACCACTCCTTGGAACTGGATCCAACGAGGTTAACCTCGGTCACCACAGCCGCAAGGATGATGTCTTCATCCTTTTGCCCACCTTGCACCAAGTTCACGTGAGAATCTTTCTTCTTCCTTGGTGCCTTGCAATCCGAGGACTTGTATCCATTCTTGTTGCAATTGAAGCATTTTCCGTTGAACTTTGTCTTGGAAACGCCTCCCTTGGGACCGAGCTTGCTCTTCCCATTATTTTTATGGGAAAAGGGCCAAAATGGACGCTGAGGTTTTTAATGAAGAGCGTATTGGACATTAAGGTTTTTTTGAGATCAAATAAACATAAAATTAAACTTTTCGGACCGCATCGCCCACCCCCTAACATTTCCCGTTAACATCTTCTCTTCCCCGTTATCACCCTGCGATTAGACCTAATTGATATATACCTAATAAATACAATCTGAGACAGATTATGAAGAAGAAAGCAGTGATGTCGGCTAGTCCTTCAGCATCGAGGTCGTCTGAGGCACGGAAATCTGAGTCCGGTGATTCAGTGAAGCTTCGAAGCATCTATGAGCGACCGTATTCTGGGCGTTCTAGGTTTTGCAGATGCATGAATGCAAATGGAACTCGCGTCAAGGCGCCACTTTGGACTTCATGGACTGACAAGAATCCAGGGAGAAGATTTCATGGATGTCCTAATTATGAGGTATGCTTTTAATTGTTCTTTTCACATATGAGAACTGGAGAAGATCATGAATATGTATAATTTATTTATATTCATATTGATATTCATACTCTTGTGTATACTCAGAAGGATGGATGTGGCTTCTTTGAATGGCATGATGAGCCATTAACGGACAGAGCAAGGCATGTTATCAATGAGCTGAAACGGGAGAATAGGAGGCTCCAATCTGCAATGTTTGAATTGGAATGTGATAGTGTTGCTCAAAAGTTGGAGAGTGAACTTGAAGAAGTCAACAGTATGAATGATGCAGCCCATCTGGAATTGGAAAGCAAAACTAAAATGAAGAATAATTATGTTATTGTAGTGTTGTTATGTGTCCTTATTGTAGTATTATGTGTGTTAGTATGTTAGTTTCAGTTTCTTGTAAAATGGTTTGGTTATGACCTTGTAAACAGTTTGAAAAAATGTTGCTGTAAACAGTGTTGACCTTGTAACACTTTGGTTATTGTAGTGTTGTTATGGTCTGGTTGAATAAACAACATATATAAACAAAAAAAGATGTTATATCATAACTTCACATCATTAGGGATCATAATACTGATTGTTAATGAGGTTACAAAATACAAAAAAAGCATTATAAGCCCTAATTTAGCACCCCATAATTGCAGTGAGTTCCTTAGATTGCCAGAAGTACTAAAACTTCATACAAAACATCTAAACTTCCAGTGAGTCTTCAAACGACTACATTGCCAAAAAGCTAATAAGCTAATAAATACAAAGTGCCCAAAAGTGTTCTAATGAAACATATGAGTCTTCATTCATCCATATTTGCATCCAAAAGTGTTCTAATGAAACATAAGAGTCTTCATTCATCACTTTGGAATGGAACCCGACCTCCTGATCTGCATCTTCTGTAACAACTGCTTAGAGCTGATTGCTGCATTCCCATTCCATTGCAAACCAGGTGGTTGAAAAGGTAGGTTTGTTGGATTATGCACCTCTGTACCATCACCCTTGAAAGGTATTGTTCTATATGTTGGGACATCCAACTGCTTCTCAGCCCGGGCAGCTCCTCTTATATCTTTTTCATTTGGGATTGCAAATCTGACTGTAACATCAGGGTCATGTGGCATTTCAGGCTGGAAATCTGAAACTATTTCCTCACTGCTCATCCCAGGCTACAAGCATAAACAAGTACATGAAGGTAAAATTAGAAATAAGAAAACTTATTTCAATACAACAACAAACTAAACCACTTACATAACACTGGAAACCTATTGATACTCACATTTAAAGTCTTCTCCCCAGTGTTCACATCCACATGGCACCCAAAGCCTGTTACAGATTGTTTACTTATCTTCCTTCCTATTCTTCTACATGTCACTTTAGACTTACCAGTACTCCTTTTAGCATTAGTGTGTGGATTTGTTGGTGGAGTTGATTCTGTAGTGGTAGGAATTGCTGAAAAAGCAACACTAGCAGGTCTCTTCACAGGTATAGGTCCATTCCCTTCTGCTCCTTGAACACTTGCCTAAGAAACAGATAAAAAAAGTCATGAAAACACAATAAATCAATATTGCAGTTTACATCTTCAAAGTCATGTACTACTTACATCTTTATCTTTATTAGGACATGTAGCTCTCTTATGGCCCTCCTTATGGCATAACCCACCTCCCGCTATGGTTGAATCTGAGATTAACCAACCCATTCATTGTAACAAACTAAAACAACACTCAAATATTACCTCAGATTAGTCGTACGTATTGTAACCTTGGTCGTGCAGTTGAACACCTTCTAATCTTCTCAACTCACTCGCACAATCTCACACTCATGAGCCATGGAAATGAGTTAGGGTTAGAAATTTCAATTAGGGAGATTGTAATCGCAGGGTGATAACGGGGAAGAGAAGATGTTAACGGGAAATGTTAGGGGGTGGGCGATGCGGTCCGAAAAGTTTAATTTTATGTTTATTTGATCTCAAAAAAACCTTAATGTCCAATACGCTCTTCATTAAAAACCTCAGTGTCCATTTTGGCCCTTTTCCCTATTTTTATTTTTGGAGCCTTTAGCATGCTCCACCACGTTGGCCTTGGCGCCATGAACAATTGGGAGTTTCCCATCGTTCTTCCGGTTATCCTCTTCAATCCGCAGACGGAGGATCAATTGCTCCAAGTTCATTTCCTTTCGCTTATGCTTAAGGTAGTTCTTGAAATCCTTCCAAGCCGGCGGCAATAAGTGAATAATTGACGCCACTTGGAATGACTCACTAACCGTCATTCCTTCATCTCGAATTTTGTTGAAGATCATTTGCATCTCCTCAACTTGACTCAAGACCGTCTTCGAATCCACCATTTTAAAATCAAGGAATCGACCAACAACAAATTTCTTTGCGCCGGCATCCTCGCTTTTATATTTGTGGTCCAAAGCATTCCATAGCTCCTTAGCCGTAGCTAATTTGCTATACACGTCGTACAAAGCATCATGCAGCCCGTTCAACACGTAGTTTCAGCAAAGGAAGTCAGAATGCTTCCAAGCTTCAACCGCGTTGAAAGATTGCGCATCCACCTCACCCCCGGTTGCTACCGGCGCATCTTCGGTCAAGAATCTAGCAAGACCGAGAGTAGTGAGGTAAAATAGCATCTTTTGCTGCCACCTCTTGAAGTTTAACCCGTTGAATTTCTCGGGTTTCTCCACAGAGTTGCTTGGCACGGTCACCATAGGGATAGCCCTTTGGTTGGCCAAAGCAGATGCACCGCGTTGTGAACTATTGTTCACCGGTGCTCCGCTTTCAGAGTGATTGTCGTTCAGAACATTCTGCCCAACACCAATCTCGTTTTCTTGAGAAGTCATTTTCGTTCTTTAACGTTTTTCCGAAAACACAAATAAAATAAGTTCGTTCACCAAAGTGACAAACTTCGTTTAAGATTGTTTACCGGAGTAGAACAATCAACATATACGTTTTAAGATTGTATCCGTATGATACAAGCTCAACAAATACATTTTAAGATTGTAGGGTGTGTTTCGGAAAATAAAGAAAATTAATTAAAAGAAATTAATTAAATAAAATGACTAAAGAAAAACAGGAAAGGAGATGAAGCAGAATTAGTCAAAGCTCGTGCTACGCACGATTTCCTTAAAACGTATTTGTTGCCTCCCACGGTGCTAGGAGCGTTGCAACAATCGTTTCCCAGGATACGATGACTACGAACTAATGTTTGAGCACACAAACAAGAGTTCCAGCGAACGAGAACCAAGTATGAACAAAGAAGGAAGTTTGTTGAGTAGCTTTAGGTGTTTTTAGCTCAAGAAATTCGTGAGGAATGTATTGTGCGTTGTGTTGTTGCAAACCACCTGCCAGCTATTTATAGGAGGATTTGTTGTGTGTTAAATGAGGTGTTAATGGACCTGAACGTTGGACTTCAATGACCAGTCCGTTGGGCATTGAATCATCCATAAACTGTCCATTTAACGTTGCATTAAAAGACAAGAACGTTGGGCATTTAATGGTTGTAACGGCTTGGAGCAGTTCAGGTGCGCGATCAGAATACCCCCACCAGAGTTGGAGCAGTTCTGATGCTACCAGAAGACCTCCACCAGAGTTGGAGCAACTCTGATGCGAAGCCACCAGAGTTCGAGCTTCTGGTCCGAAGCCACCAGAGTTCGAGCAACTCTGATCCGAAGCCACCAGAGTTCGAGCAACTCTGATCCGAAGCCACCAGAGTTCGAGCAACTCTGATCTGAAGCCACCAGTGTCCGCAGGTCGCCCGCGCACACGAGTCGCGGTTTTTCTTCTCCGTTTCGGGATTTGATCGGCACCCCCCCCCCCTGCGCGTAAGAGAGAGCCTTTCCCTTTAGGAATCTTAACTCCTTAAAAGAGGCTTCCCTTTATAAGGGGGTGAAAATCCCTTGAGTTTTTCGGTGTGGGATAAAACACACTAGAAACTCACCATTTTCCCAGTTTTTCCATTTCAACGAGTGAACTTCGAGAATCAATTTCTCATTCACCCGTTATCCGTTTTGAGTGTACCATATATCGAATTGTAGCCCTTAACAAGGACAATCCGAAACACTTTGACCCGACCCAAATCGGAAGTGGACCCCACTCAAATAATTGCCCCAAAAGACCATTTAATGCAATTTTAACACATTTTTCCAACAATCCCCCACATGAATGAAAATTGATTTTCGAGACTTAAAAAAAGACACGAAGATAGGAGGACACGTTGTGTTCACCGGATGATCCTTGCATACGGAGAGGTAGGTTTTATCCTTTGAACCTTCCGTTGTAAAGACACGTTTATTTACTGGCTGTCTAGTAGACTCGATGTCCTTGAACTATACTGCCGTCGTGTAAACATTGACTTATCTTTACACAAGAACCTTCCAACTTGTTCCGTTCTCATGGGTGTGCCCGTTTTGGCCATGGGTCACCGTCCTGGTTCTGCAAGAGTTTCTAAAGAACTGAGCCTTTACAGTTCTCCTTTGAAGCGGCCCTCTTCTCTCTCACATAGGTGATTCTTTCACGAGTATCCCGCATACTCTTCCAATGTTATCGAGTAGATCAACATTTTAGAATCATTAAAGCAAACGTTTTTGCTAACCTCGTGCGGGAGTCACTGTTTTAACGAGGAGTGGGTAGGAGTCCGGGACCCCCACAGTGACCATCCTTCGCTCTATAATTTAGTTGTCCCTTTTGAACCTAGGACCAACTAGGTTGGGTATCCACTATAGAACTTTTCAATTCACGGGCTTTAGTCCCATTCCTCGTGACAACTTCTCCAACAATTCTCTATCCAATGCCTTGGTTAGCGGATCCGCTATGTTATCCTTTGACTTCACGTAGTCAACAGTGATAACACCCGTTGTGAGGAGTTGTTTAATGGTGTTATGTCTACGACGAACGTGTCTAGACTTACCATTGTAGAGATTGCTCTGTGCCCTTCCAATTGCCGCTTGACAATCACAATGAATGCATATTGGAGGGACAGGCTTCTCCCAACTTGGAATATCCTCGAGAAAATGGCGTAGCCATTCAGCCTCTTCAGTGCACTTATCCAAGGCTATTAGCTCAGATTCCATCGTGGATCTAGCTATTAACGTTTGTTTCGAGGATTTCCACGACACGGCTGCACCTCCCAAAGTGAAAACATATCCACTTGTGGACTTAGAGTCCTTTATGTCGGATATCCAACTAGCGTCGCTATACCCTTCAAGTACAGCTGGATATCTTCCATAGTGCAGTCCAAGGTTTTGGGTTTTACGTAAATACCTCAAAACCCGTATTATTGCCTTCCAGTGTTCATCACCGGGGTTGCTAGTATATCTACTTAGCTTACTAACCACAAAGGCAATATCAGGCCTGGTACAACTCATCAGATACATCAAACTTCCAATAATCCTAGCGTATTCTACTTGAGAAATACACTCTCCACGATTTTTGGTAAGATGAGTGTTTTTATCTAATGGCGTCCTTGCCTCTTGATAATCATCCTTATTAAATTTAGTAAGGATTTTATCAACGTAAAGGGATTGGCTTAGCGTTAGGCCGTCAGGTCTTCTAATTATTTTAATCCCAAGGATTAAATCGGCCAGCCCCATATCCTTCATGTCAAATTTTGAATTTAACATGTTTTTGGTAGAATTAATCATTAGATTATTGCTACCCACGATGAGTATATCATCCACGTATAAACATAAAATGACATAGCCGTTTACCGTGCTTTTCACATAGACACATTTGTCACTTTCGTTTATCTTAAACCCATTAGGTAACATTGCATGATCGAACTTTTCGTGCCACTGTTTAGGGGCTTGTTTCAATCCATACAATGATTTAATTAATTTACAAATCTTCTTTTCTTGGCTTGGAACACGAAAACCCTCGGGTTGTTCCATATAGATTTCTTCGTCTATATCGCCATTTAGAAAAGCGGTTTTTACGTCCATTTGATGAACTTCCAAATTCCGCAAAGCGGCAATCGCTAGTATCATCCTAATGGAATTTATTCTCGTCACGGGAGAATACGTGTCAAAGTAATCATGGCCCTCGCGTTGCTTGTATCCCTTGATTACAAGTCTGGCCTTATACTTATCAATGGAACCGTCTGGTTTCATTTTACGTTTAAAAATCCACTTGGATCCCAAAGGTTTACATCCCGGAGGGAGATCAACCAATTCCCACGTGTGATTTTTTAGGATAGAGTCCACCTCACTTTTGATGGCTTCTTTCCACATAGGACCTTCAGTTGACGTCACGGCTTCCGTATAAGTCCGTGGCTCATTTTCTACCAAACATGTTAGAAAATCCGGTTCATTTTCTACCATACATGTTAGAATATCCGATTCAAATTCTACCAGGTAGGTGAGAAAATCCGGTCCGAAGGATTTTTCGACTCTAGCACGTTTGCTACGTCTGGGTTCGGGTTCTTCTCCGGATCCCTCGCTAGTATTTTCCATAGCTACGTCAAATGTTCGTTTTGACGTGCTTGGTCTTCGTTGGACTTGCATGGAAATACGTCTTCAAAGAATGAAGCATTCCTCGATTCAATTATTGTGTTTTTATGTACATCCGGATTATTCGAATCGTACACTAAAAACCGATACGCACTACTATTTTGTGCATATCCAATAAAAATACAATCCACCGTTTTTGGACCTGTTTTTATTTTCTTAGGTGTTGGTACAAGCACCTTAGCAAGACACCCCCACACTTTTAAATATTGATAGGAAGGCCGTCTGTCTTTCCACAACTCGTACGGAGTTTTATCATATTTTTTCCGGGGAACCTTATTTAAAAGGTAATTGCTTGTCAAGATTGCTTCGCCCCACATATTTTGTGGCAAGCCCGAACTTACTAGCATCGCATTCATCATATCTTTCAATGTGCGATTCTTTCGTTCGGCAACACCGTTTGATTGAGGTGAATAGGGTGCGGTACGTTCGTGTACTATACCCACACTAGCGCAAAAGTCACCAATTGGTGCTTCATACTCACCACCTCGATCACTCCTAACCGTCTTAATCCTTCGATTAAGTTGGTTTTCCACTTCATTCTTATAAAGAATGAATTTATCGATTGCTTCGTGTTTATTTTTTAATAAATAAACGTAGCTATAACGAGTGCTATCATCGATAAAGGTAATAAAATATTTATTACCGCCGCGTGTTTGTATTGATTTAAAATCACAAACGTCACTATGAATTAATTCAAGTGGTTCCGTTTTTCTTTCAACCGATTTGAAAGACGTTTTCGTTAGTTTTGCCTCTACACAAACTTCACATTTGTGCTTCACATCAATTGTGAATTTAGGAATGTGCTCCATGTTAATTAATCTACGTATAGAATTAAAATTAACATGTCCTAGTCTACCATGCCACACATTGGAAGACTCAAGCAAGTAAGCAGAAGGGATTTTATTATTATTATTAATAATAGTCATTACATTGAGCTTAAACAGCCCATCACATGTATACCCCTTTCCCACATACATTCCCGATTTAGACAAAACTAATTTGTCCGACTCAAAAACCATGCGGAAGCCATGCTTGTTCAACAACGAACCGGAAATCAGGTTTTTGCGTATCTCCGGAACGAACAGCACTTGGTTTAGAGTCAGCTCCTTGCCCGAAGTCATCTTCAGGACCACTTTGCCCACGCCTTCCACCGTGGAATGAGCAGAATTTCCCATCCACACCTTTTCACCATTTGATGGCTCAAAGGTCGTGAATAGCTCCCGGTTTGAGCAAATATGCCGGGTAGCACCGGTGTCCACGAACCACTCCTTGGAATTGGATCCAACGAGGTTAACCTCGGTCACCACAGCCGCAAGGATGATGTCTTCATCCTTTTGCCCACCTTGCACCAAGTTCACGTGAGAATCTTTCTTCTTCCTTGGTGCCTTGCAATCCGAGGACTTGTGTCCATTCTTGTTGCAATTGAAGCATTTTCCGTTGAACTTTGTCTTGGAAACGCCTCCCTTGGGACCGAGCTTGCTCTTCCCATTATTTTTATGGGAAAAGGGCCAAAATGGACACTGAGGTTTTTAATGAAGAGCGTATTGGACATTAAGGTCTTTTTGAGATCAAATAAACATAAAATTAAACTTTTCGGACCGCATCGCCCACCCCCTAACATTTCCCGTTAACATCTTCTCTTCCCCGTTATCACCCTGCGATTAGACCTAATTGATATATACCTAATAAATACAATCTGAGACAGATTATGAAGAAGAAAGCAGTGATGTCGGCTAGTCCTTCAGCATCGAGGTCGTCTGAGGCACGGAAATCTGAGTCCGGTGATTCAGTGAAGCTTCGAAGCATCTATGAGCGACCGTATTCTGGGCGTTCTAGGTTTTGCAGATGCATGAATGCAAATGGAACTCGCGTCAAGGCGCCACTTTGGACTTCATGGACTGACAAGAATCCAGGGAGAAGATTTCATGGATGTCCTAATTATGAGGTATGCTTTTAATTGTTCTTTTCACATATGAGAACTGGAGAAGATCATGAATATGTATAATTTATTTATATTCATATTGATATTCATACTCTTGTGTATACTCAGAAGGATGGATGTGGCTTCTTTGAATGGCATGATGAGCCATTAACGGACAGAGCAAGGCATGTTATCAATGAGCTGAAACGGGAGAATAGGAGGCTCCAATCTGCAATGTTTGAATTGGAATGTGATAGTGTTGCTCAAAAGTTGGAGAGTGAACTTGAAGAAGTCAACAGTATGAATGATGCAGCCCATCTGGAATTGGAAAGCAAAACTAAAATGAAGAATAATTATGTTATTGTAGTGTTGTTATGTGTCCTTATTGTAGTATTATGTGTGTTAGTATGTTAGTTTCAGTTTCTTGTAAAATGGTTTGGTTATGACCTTGTAAACAGTTTGAAAAAATGTTGCTGTAAACAGTGTTGACCTTGTAACACTTTGGTTATTGTAGTGTTGTTATGGTCTGGTTGAATAAACAACATATATAAACAAAAAAAGATGTTATATCATAACTTCACATCATTAGGGATCATAATACTGATTGTTAATGAGGTTACAAAATACAAAAAAAGCATTATAAGCCCTAATTTAGCACCCCATAATTGCAGTGAGTTCCTTAGATTGCCAGAAGTACTAAAACTTCATACAAAACATCTAAACTTCCAGTGAGTCTTCAAACGACTACATTGCCAAAAAGCTAATAAGCTAATAAATACAAAGTGCCCAAAAGTGTTCTAATGAAACATATGAGTCTTCATTCATCCATATTTGCATCCAAAAGTGTTCTAATGAAACATAAGAGTCTTCATTCATCACTTTGGAATGGAACCCGACCTCCTGATCTGCATCTTCTGTAACAACTGCTTAGAGCTGATTGCTGCATTCCCATTCCATTGCAAACCAGGTGGTTGAAAAGGTAGGTTTGTTGGATTATGCACCTCTGTACCATCACCCTTGAAAGGTATTGTTCTATATGTTGGGACATCCAACTGCTTCTCAGCCCGGGCAGCTCCTCTTATATCTTTTTCATTTGGGATTGCAAATCTGACTGTAACATCAGGGTCATGTGGCATTTCAGGCTGGAAATCTGAAACTATTTCCTCACTGCTCATCCCAGGCTACAAGCATAAACAAGTACATGAAGGTAAAATTAGAAATAAGAAAACTTATTTCAATACAACAACAAACTAAACCACTTACATAACACTGGAAACCTATTGATACTCACATTTAAAGTCTTCTCCCCAGTGTTCACATCCACATGGCACCCAAAGCCTGTTACAGATTGTTTACTTATCTTCCTTCCTATTCTTCTACATGTCACTTTAGACTTACCAGTACTCCTTTTAGCATTAGTGTGTGGATTTGTTGGTGGAGTTGATTCTGTAGTGGTAGGAATTGCTGAAAAAGCAACACTAGCAGGTCTCTTCACAGGTATAGGTCCATTCCCTTCTGCTCCTTGAACACTTGCCTAAGAAACAGATAAAAAAAGTCATGAAAACACAATAAATCAATATTGCAGTTTACATCTTCAAAGTCATGTACTACTTACATCTTTATCTTTATTAGGACATGTAGCTCTCTTATGGCCCTCCTTATGGCATAACCCACCTCCCGCTATGGTTGAATCTGAGATTAACCAACCCATTCATTGTAACAAACTAAAACAACACTCAAATATTACCTCAGATTAGTCGTACGTATTGTAACCTTGGTCGTGCAGTTGAACACCTTCTAATCTTCTCAACTCACTCGCACAATCTCACACTCATGAGCCATGGAAATGAGTTAGGGTTAGAAATTTCAATTAGGGAGATTGTAATCGCAGGGTGATAACGGGGAAGAGAAGATGTTAACGGGAAATGTTAGGGGGTGGGCGATGCGGTCCGAAAAGTTTAATTTTATGTTTATTTGATCTCAAAAAAACCTTAATGTCCAATACGCTCTTCATTAAAAACCTCAGTGTCCATTTTGGCCCTTTTCCCTATTTTTATTTTTGGAGCCTTTAGCATGCTCCACCACGTTGGCCTTGGCGCCATGAACAATTGGGAGTTTCCCATCGTTCTTCCGGTTATCCTCTTCAATCCGCAGACGGAGGATCAATTGCTCCAAGTTCATTTCCTTTCGCTTATGCTTAAGGTAGTTCTTGAAATCCTTCCAAGCCGGCGGCAATAAGTGAATAATTGACGCCACTTGGAATGACTCACTAACCGTCATTCCTTCATCTCGAATTTCGTTGAAGATCATTTGCATCTCCTCAACTTGACTCAAGACCGTCTTCGAATCCACCATTTTAAAATCAAGGAATCGACCAACAACAAATTTCTTTGCGCCGGCATCCTCGCTTTTATATTTGTGGTCCAAAGCATTCCATAGCTCCTTAGCCGTAGCTAATTTGCTATACACGTCGTACAAAGCATCATGCAGCCCGTTCAACACGTAGTTTCAGCAAAGGAAGTCAGAATGCTTCCAAGCTTCAACCGCGTTGAAAGATTGCGCATCCACCTCACCCCCGGTTGCTACCGGCGCATCTTCGGTCAAGAATCTAGCAAGACCGAGAGTAGAGAGGTAAAATAGCATCTTTTGCTGCCACCTCTTGAAGTTTAACCCGTTGAATTTCTCGGGTTTCTCCACAGAGTTGCTTGGCACGGTCACCATAGGGATAGCCCTTTGGTTGGCCAAAGCAGATGCACCGCGTTGTGAACTATTGTTCACCGGTGCTCCGCTTTCAGAGTGATTGTCGTTCAGAACATTCTGCCCAACACCAATCTCGTTTTCTTGAGAAGTCATTTTCGTTCTTTAACGTTTTTCCGAAAACACAAATAAAATAAGTTCGTTCACCAAAGTGACAAACTTCGTTTAAGATTGTTTACCGGAGTAGAACAATCAACATATACGTTTTAAGATTGTATCCGTATGATACAAGCTCAACAAATACATTTTAAGATTGTAGGATGTGTTTCGGAAAATAAAGAAAATTAATTAAAAGAAATTAATTAAATAAAATGACTAAAGAAAAACAGGAAAGGAGATGAAGCAGAATTAGTCAAAGCTCGTGCTACGCACGATTTCCTTAAAACGTATTTGTTGCCTCCCACGGTGCTAGGAGCGTTGCAACAATCGTTTCCCAGGATACGATGACTACGAACTAATGTTTGAGCACACAAACAAGAGTTCCAGCGAACGAGAACCAAGTATGAACACAGAAGGAAGTTTGCTGAGTAGCTTTAGGTGTTTTTAGCTCAAGAAATTCGTGAGGAATGTATTGTGCGTTGTGTTGTTGCAAACCACCTGCCAGCTATTTATAGGAGGATTTGTTGTGTGTTAAATGAGGTGTTAATGGACCTGAACGTTGGACTTCAATGACCAGTCCGTTGGACATTGAATCATCCATAAACTGTCCATTTAACGTTGCATTAAAAGACAAGAACGTTGGGCATTTAATGGTTGTAACGGCTTGGAGCAGTTCAGGTGCGCGATCAGAATACCCCCACCAGAGTTGGAGCAGTTCTGATGCTACCAGAAGACCTCCACCAGAGTTGGAGCAACTCTGATGCGAAGCCACCAGAGTTCGAGCTTCTGGTCCGAAGCCACCAGAGTTCGAGCAACTCTGTTCCATATAGATTTCTTCATCTATATCGCCATTTAGAAAAGCGGTTTTTACGTCCATTTGATGAACTTCCAAATTCCGCAAAGCGGCAATCGCTAGTATCATCCTAATGGAATTTATTCTCGTCACGGGAGAATACGTGTCAAAGTAATCATGGCCCTCGCGTTGCTTGTATCCCTTGATTACAAGTCTGGTCTTATACTTATCAATGGAACCGTCTGGTTTCATTTTACGTTTAAAAATCCACTTGGATCCCAAAGGTTTACATCCCGGAGGGAGATCAACCAATTCCCACGTGTGATTTTTTAGGATAGAGTCCACCTCACTTTTGATGGCTTCTTTCCACATAGGACCTTCAGTTGACGTCACGGCTTCCGTATAAGTCCGTGGCTCATTTTCTACCAAACATGTTAGAAAATCCGGTTCATTTTCTACCATACATGTTAGAATATCCGATTCAAATTCTACCAGGTAGGTGAGAAAATCCGGTCCGAAGGATTTTTCGACTCTAGCACGTTTGCTACGTCTGGGTTCGGGTTCTTCTCCGGATCCCTCGCTAGTATTTTCCATAGCTACGTCAAATGTTCGTTTTGACATGCTTGGTCCTTCGTTGGACTTGCATGGAAATACGTCTTCAAAGAATGAAGCATTCCTTGATTCAATTATTGTGTTTTTATGTACATCCGGATTATTCGAATCGTACACTAAAAACCGATACGCACTACTATTTTGTGCATATCCAATAAAAATACAATCCACCGTTTTTGGACCTATTTTTATTTTCTTAGGTGTTGGTACAAGCACATTAGCAAGACACCCCCACACTTTTAAATATTGATAGGAAGGCCGTCTGTCTTTCCACAACTCGTACGGAGTTTTATCATATTTTTTCTGGGGAACCTTATTTAAAAGGTAATTGCTTGTCAAGATTGTTTCGCCCCACATATTTTGTGGCAAGCCCGAACTTACTAACATCGCATTCATCATATCTTTCAATGTGCGATTCTTTCGTTCGACAACACCGTTTGATTGAGGTGAATAGGGTGCGGTACGTTCGTGTACTATACCCACACTAGCGCAAAAGTCACCAATTGGTGCTTCATACTCACTACCTCGATCACTCCTAACCGTCTTAATCCTTCGATTAAGTTGGTTTTCCACTTCATTCTTATAAAGAATGAATTTATCGATTGCTTCGTGTTTAATTTTTAATAAATAAACGTAGCTATAGCGAGTGCTATCATCGATAAAGGTAATAAAATATTTATTACCGCCGCGTGTTTGTATTGATTTAAAATCACAAACGTCACTATGAATTAATTCAAGTGGTTCCGTTTTTCTTTCAACCGATTTGAAAGACGTTTTCGTTAGTTTTGCCTCTACACAAACTTCACATTTGTGCTTCACATCAATTGTGAATTTAGGAATGTGCTCCATGTTAATTAATCTACGTATAGAATTAAAATTAACATGTCCTAGTGTACCATGCCACACATTGGAAGACTCAAGCAAGTAAGCAGAAGGTTGCATTAAAAGACAAGAACGTTGGGCATTTAATGGTTGTAACGGCTTGGAGCAGTTCAGGTGCGCGATCAGAATACCCCCACCAGAGTTGGAGCAGTTCTGATGCTACCAGAAGACCTCCACCAGAGTTGGAGCAACTCTGATGCGAAGCCACCAGAGTTCGAGCTTCTGGTCCGAAGCCACCAGAGTTTCCCATCGTTCTTCCGGTTATCCTCTTCAATCCGCAGACGGAGGATCAATTGCTCCAAGTTCATTTCCTTTCGCTTATGCTTAAGGTAGTTCTTGAAATCCTTCCAAGCCGGCGGCAATAAGTGAATAATTGACGCCACTTGGAATGACTCACTAACCGTCATTCCTTCATCTCGAATTTCGTTGAAGATCATTTGCATCTCCTCAACTTGACTCAAGACCGTCTTCGAATCCACCATTTTAAAATCAAGGAATCGACCAACAACAAATTTCTTTGCGCCGGCATCCTCGCTTTTATATTTGTGGTCCAAAGCATTCCATAGCTCCTTAGCCGTAGCTAATTTGCTATACACGTCGTACAAAGCATCATGCAGCCCGTTCAACACGTAGTTTCAGCAAAGGAAGTCAGAATGCTTCCAAGCTTCAACCGCGTTGAAAGATTGCGCATCCACCTCACCCCCGGTTGCTACCGGCGCATCTTCGGTCAAGAATCTAGCAAGACCGAGAGTAGAGAGGTAAAATAGCATCTTTTGCTGCCACCTCTTGAAGTTTAACCCGTTGAATTTCTCGGGTTTCTCCACAGAGTTGCTTGGCACGGTCACCATAGGGATAGCCCTTTGGTTGGCCAAAGCAGATGCACCGCGTTGTGAACTATTGTTCACCGGTGCTCCGCTTTCAGAGTGATTGTCGTTCAGAACATTCTGCCCAACACCAATCTCGTTTTCTTGAGAAGTCATTTTCGTTCTTTAACGTTTTTCCGAAAACACAAATAAAATAAGTTCGTTCACCAAAGTGACAAACTTCGTTTAAGATTGTTTACCGGAGTAGAACAATCAACATATACGTTTTAAGATTGTATCCGTATGATACAAGCTCAACAAATACATTTTAAGATTGTAGGATGTGTTTCGGAAAATAAAGAAAATTAATTAAAAGAAATTAATTAAATAAAATGACTAAAGAAAAACAGGAAAGGAGATGAAGCAGAATTAGTCAAAGCTCGTGCTACGCACGATTTCCTTAAAACGTATTTGTTGCCTCCCACGGTGCTAGGAGCGTTGCAACAATCGTTTCCCAGGATACGATGACTACGAACTAATGTTTGAGCACACAAACAAGAGTTCCAGCGAACGAGAACCAAGTATGAACACAGAAGGAAGTTTGCTGAGTAGCTTTAGGTGTTTTTAGCTCAAGAAATTCGTGAGGAATGTATTGTGCGTTGTGTTGTTGCAAACCACCTGCCAGCTATTTATAGGAGGATTTGTTGTGTGTTAAATGAGGTGTTAATGGACCTGAACGTTGGACTTCAATGACCAGTCCGTTGGACATTGAATCATCCATAAACTGTCCATTTAACGTTGCATTAAAAGACAAGAACGTTGGGCATTTAATGGTTGTAACGGCTTGGAGCAGTTCAGGTGCGCGATCAGAATACCCCCACCAGAGTTGGAGCAGTTCTGATGCTACCAGAAGACCTCCACCAGAGTTGGAGCAACTCTGATGCGAAGCCACCAGAGTTCGAGCTTCTGGTCCGAAGCCACCAGAGTTCGAGCAACTCTGATCCGAAGCCACCAGAGTTCGAGCAACTCTGATCCGAAGCCACTAGAGTTCGAGCAACTCTGATCTGAAGCCACCAGTGTCCGCAGGTCGCCCGCGCACACGAGTCGCGGTTTTTCTTCTCCGTTTCGGGATTTGATCGGCACCCCCCCTGCGCGTAAGAGAGAGCCTTTCCCTTTAGGAATCTTAACTCCTTAAAAGAGGCTTCCCTTTATAAGGGGGTGAAAATCCCTTGAGTTTTTCGGTGTGGGATAAAACACACTAGAAACTCACCATTTTCCCAGTTTTTCCATTTCAACGAGTGAACTTCGAGAATCAATTTCTCATTCACCCGTTATCCGTTTTGAGTGTACCACTTTGACCCGACCCAAATCGGAAGTGGACCCCACTCAAATAATTGCCCCAAAAAGACCATTTAATGCAATTTTAACACATTTTTCCAACAATTTCTACCCTTACAAAAAATTATACTTGAAACTGTCAAACAGGTCAACACTCTCTTATGTTACCCAGGTTCGAATCCCGCACGGGTAGCTCAGTTGGTCGAGCGGTGGGAAAAATTGGACGTAGACCAAGGTTCGAATCCCGCAGCGACCAAAAGGGGGTTTTCAGAACCTGAAATAAGGCTGGCCCTCTGGTGCGCACGGGTAAAGACCTACTGCCGCTTTGCCGACTGAGTCACCGTGATTTACTCCCCCACCATCCTGTCGGTCGGGGTGGGGGGGCCCTTGGGGTTGGGGATTCAACCTTTTTTTTGGACGTTATGTTACCCAATCTTTATATAAAGAGGTATATATCTTCTTAAGTAATACTTCAAACTGTCAAATGGGTCAACACTCGACCCCTAAATAATTTTCTTGTTTGGATTTCCGGACCTTTACACAAAATAATTTCTATATTTACTTTTTAAACAGACTCAACTAAAAATACTATGAAGACAGTTAGAGCATCTTCAATCAGAAGGTGTTCACATTAAAAAAACGAGCTACGTAATCCCTATTTAACAGCATGGGAAAATTTTCCTCTCCAATGCACTATTCTTATCCTCCTGTAATGATGACATGTACAATTTTATTTTCGACGCTGTTTACCTCCATGTCTTCACCTAACAGCGCCCTTCACACGCTGACTCAGCAAACGTGGAGCAGAAACTCAACCAAATTTGTGGATAAATATCAGGAAATTCTCCCGATAAATATCTCTTTGAATTGGAACATCAATACAGGATATGGCCATATCTTAAAGATGCAAAGTGCTTTTTTTTATTATTTAATTGTCTGGCTCGGTTTTTATTTACCGGTGTTCGTGCTTTGAACCCTTGACAATCGATCTGTTGTTTTTTCCGAGGATCCCATCGATCTTGTACAAGTTTACAGAACATATTAGTTTTCTTTGAAATTCCAAAGGCTTCTGCAATGGCAAACCGACAGGAAGCAGGGGAGATCGTGATTTCGTCTAGGTGGGTTTTGATTAAATCAACCGTATGAGATTTATTGAATTTGAAAGTAATACGTGGCTAGGATTCTATAGGCAGTTGACATATAACCATTGCACCTGATTTTGGAATTTTAAATGTCTACCTACGTGACTCAACATGAGGTGGAAGACAATTCCACTTATTAATAGTCATGTGTCAACATTTATAGGATGTTAACAATGTCCCATTAATGATGCTCTTAGTGATTAATGTCAGACAACTCCGTAGTAGTTTTTTATTACCAAATATTATCACATAAAATGAGTGAAATTGACAAAGATACCAAAAAATGACAAATGAAAAGAAGTTTCAATTTGGGAACACATCAAGTATAAATTTATAATTAAGGGACCCCGACTTAGATTTTTAAACAATAAGCATTGATCATCGGTCCATATAAAATACATTGTACACATTTGTTTATACATTTCAAAACCATACAAAAGGATAATTAATTATTATTGACTTGGGCGATGCAAATAAAATGTTTGTTGGATAAATCCAATTCCGCAAATAAAAAATGCCCAATATAAACAAGTACGCACGGTTACAAAAATGTTAAATAATTTTTATATGTTACAAACATAGTCTTTTACTTTTATACATCTGTTCATAGATGTAAATTGAGTACAAATCTATATTTATGCACACACAATAATTTTTTATTTATGTTTGTGTAAGTAATTTATTATTCATTTCCAATAATTTCTTCACACAAATATAATTTATTTATACGAGTATTTGTCCGCCACCTAATTCATACTCCCTCCGGTCCTTAATTAACTTTACATTTTCCTTTTTGGGTCGTCCTATATTAAACTTTACACTTTCTTATTTGCCTTATTTGGAAAACAAATCAACACCAAACAGTGCAAAACAATGTCAAACAGTGCCACACAGTGTACTCTACAATAAAATCAAATTTATTTCCTCAATATGTGTGAATTCAAAGTGTAAAGTTTAATAAGGGCCGGAGGGAGTATAAAAGACTTAAAGACAAACTTGTACAAATGTTACATCTTTATATTTAGGAAGAAAGAAATAATAAAACCACAGATTTTTTTATATTGAGGAAGAAAGAAATAATAAAACCACAGATTAATTAAATACGGAGTACTTTTTTTAAGGAACTAATTAAATACTTTAAGAATATGAACAAATTCTATAAACAATAAATAAAAGAGTTAATTATCAAAATAGGACTAAAAGTCATTCACTTTTCACAAATAGGACCAAAAAATAAACTATGTTTGCATAGGACTAATTATGTGTACCTTGGACAATTATACCCTTATAGCTATTAAAATGTTTTAATTCCTAATAAAATAATAAAAAATAATAAAAATTCGTAAAAAATACTAAAAAATTAAGAAAAACATTTCGATATTAAAAATTTAATTAATTTTTTTTTTCAAAAAATTAAAAAAATTTAAAAAATTAAAAAAAAAATTAAAAAAAAATAAAAACTCAAAAAAAAAAAATCGTCGCCGCCTCTGCCGCCTCAGCACCACCACCTCCAGTCACCAGGGAAAAAAATGCCAAGTTCATTACGAATGCCATATTTATTGCAGAAAAAATGAAAATGTTGGCATTCGAAAAGAGAAATATGCCACTTTTTTGGCATTTTCAGAAAAAAATGGCATTTTTCTGGGAAAATGGCATTTTTTTCATCGGCCGGAGGTGGTGGTGCTGGGAGGTAGTACAGGCGGTGGGAAAGGCATCCATATTTTTTTAAATTTTTTTTACGGAGTTTTACTATTTTTTATGAATTTTTTTAAAAATAAAATTATTTTTTTAAAAAAAGGTTTTTGAATTTTTTATTTTATAAAAATTTTATAAATTTTTTAATTATATTTCTACGAATTTTTGAATTTTTTCCGAATTTATTATGAATTAAACATTTAATTATGGCTTTTGACTATTTTTAATTCATATTTAATGGAAGGGTAAGAATGAAATGCAAAAATAGGTATGTTTCCAATAGGACTCATATGGTCCTATTTTGGAATAAAAACATAGCAAGTCCTATTTTAGGTTTTTGCCATAGTTTTAGTCCTATTTGAACTAATTTCTATAAATAAAAAAGAAAAGAATTTTGTTATTTTAAACGTGGTGATCTCTAAATTCCCGGCTCCCGTTTTCTCCGACTTTTGTCTCGTTGAGATGACCCATCATCATTTTTGATCTATGAAAGCAATCAGTGCGACCACCTTTGCGGAGACTGCGTTTACTCTGTCTCTGTGTGTTCGCTTTTTTCTTTCTTCGCTTTGAAAACCGAGCATCGGAACATCTACTCTGTTGATTGATCTGGAAACCTCCCTTCCATTCACTGGCGTAGAATACCGTTTCCGCTGAAGGAGGAGGAAATGTATGCTTCGGTAGGTCACACGCAGAGCAAGAAGGATTTGGCTTTGGAGTACCAATCGCAGATACAGATTCTTCGGCCGAGCATTCACGCGAGACGGGCCAACCTGACTGTGAAATTCCAGGATCTGTATGAATTCACGGTGGAGGGGAACGTGGACGACGTCAATGTGCTGAACGAGGTGACGGAGAAGGTGAGACAGAAAAGCAAGCTGTGGTGGTCACTTGAGGCCAGAAAGGGTGCTAATTGGTATCTGCAGACCCATGTCTCCACCGCCAATCTCAAGCTTTCCACCCTCGGCAACGCCATCACCCTCAATCGACTCATCCGCAAGGGTATTCCGCCTGCCCTGCGTCCTAGTGTCTGGTTCTCTCTCTCCGGCGCCTCTAAGAAGAAGTCCACTGTCCCGGATAGCTACTATGATGATCTGATCGCTGCCGTTCAGGGCAAGGTCACGGCTGCAACCAAGCAGATTGACCATGTCAGCCCCTCTTTGCTTCTTTTCTATCCTTATTTTTGTTATTTTTCTTGGGTTCGCGTTTTCTTTTGTTTTCTAAATGCGAACCATGTTCTGAAAACGTGCATTCTGGACAAAAAAATCAAACCTTTAAGTATTAGAATCTCCCATCTGGCACTTGATCTAACAACATTGTGCTTAGATGTATAAGATTCCCCAAAAAGCTAATAATGAGATTTCGAAACTTTTAATTTCATCATTTTATTTCGGAAATGAATGCCTTAATATTTTCCCAATTCCATTGTTGGTGCTTCCATGTACAGAATATAATCTTGCATGTATATTGAAATATATATTGAAATTATAAGGCTGAATCGGCTTCGATCTCCTGATGATGTCCTCCCTTTGTAATCAGTTTTTCACATTTTCCTTTTAAGATGGATGTTTTTTACCATCCGGGTTGCTCATTCTCATGGTGTATGCGGATCTGAAAATTTTATTTTCTTTTGTAGTATAAGCTTGCGTTGCGTCTATCAGTTGTAAGGCTGAAAAAGGAAGCTTTCTTAAATTAACATTTATGTTCGTGGTAATGTGGGATGATGGCATATTATGTTTTTTTCAAGCAGTTCAAATCGTTCAATTTGTTCTGTTGACATCATATAGACGAACCATTATTAATGGAGGGATTGGAGGATATATAGTTTTTAATTTTCACATTTTCATTTTTTAGAAGTACAATTCTTTACTGATTTGTTGATGTTAATAAAAAACACGGGTTTAAGTCTCAGGCGCGACCTCTTGTCAAAAAATTGACAGGGGAAGACTTGCCCCTTATACACCATTGCGGTGGGACCGTGGGACTATTTCCCGTACCCTCACCTTGTGGGGATGCCTTCGTGCACCGAGCCGCCCTTTGATTGCTTGTAATCAACTTGTATGTTACTTTTCAGGATCTTTGATTGCTTGTAATCAACTTGTATGTTACTTTTCAGGATCTGCCAAGGACATTCCCTGGTCATCCATGGTTGGACACTGCAGAGGGTCATGCTTCTCTTAGACGTGTTCTTGTTGGATATTCTTTCCGAGATTCCGAAGTTGGCTATTGTCAGGTGAATTCTATGTGTATTAAGTACTTAAGTAGATAACACTATACTTCTATCTATAGTTTAACTGTTCCTGTCACACAGTTACATCACTTTCACACACACATGCTTGGGCCTCATATATGTAGAATACTCTATGAGCTCAGAGTCTCAGACCTTGTACTATGCAGTTTTATGTTCTTTATTTTAAAAGAAAGAGTATACTTTTGAAATTGAAAAAGCAAGGGAGTTATGGACTGGAGTATTCTTAGCGCGCACCATGAAGGTTGTTTGTGTTCTCAAAAGTTGTTGCAGAACTGAAAAGAGTTCTTATTCTATATCTTTCTGACAAAGAATGTAATTACTGTTTTACTGACATGTGGAAATGACAAAAATATGTAGAGATATTACCCGAAATAGGACTAAAACAGTTTGAAAATTCCAAAATAAGACTGTCATGTTTTTATTCCCAAAATAGGACTAATTACTGTCATGTTTTGGCAGTACCTGACTTCAAACATGGCAGTATTTTCTAAACATGACAGTAATTAGTCCTATTTTGGGAATAAAAAACATGACAATCCTATTTTAGAATTTTGAAATTGTTTTAGTCCTATTTCAGGAACTTTCCCAAATACGTAATGTAGACTTTTGATATGCTTCTAATACTCCCTCCGTCCCTGAAAATCCTTCCCACTTTCTTTTTTGGGCCGTTCCAAAAAATTCTTCCCACTTTCCATTTTTGGACAATTTGTGTGGTTCACATTCATTTCACCTTTTTCTTACACAACCACAACCATACATTTCCACTTTATTCCACTTTCTTAATATCCGTGCCAAGTCAAACTGAGAAGGATTTTCAGGGACGGAGGGAGTATAACACAGCCTAAAGCCAGTCAAATAGAAGTCTCAGAGTAGAAGTCGTACGAGTTGTCCCTTAATGTTGTATTCTGTGGAATTTTCTCTTCTAAGTCACCGTTTGTTTGCTGGAAAATAAGTTGTCAATAATGTTAATGGCCAAAAGATTTTCCATGTATGCTATCTGAGAAAATGTTTTACAGAACACATTGCTCAACTTATAACAATATAATATTATGTTTAACCTACTAAAACAACAAACTTAACTATTTCAGTCAAAATAGGAAGTCACTTCCCCAAAATTGAAAGAACCATGGAAAGCATGAAGGAAAATATTTCTGGTGCCAAACTCAAATATCTTCATGCTGACTTGTTATTAATGGGGTTCCTTCTAATTATTGGAAGTTTTTATATGTATAAATATTGTGTATAAGATTGTTTTGTTTTTAGGATGAGAAAACAATGTGATGATTTTACTTTACTGCATTGCATTTATGCTTTCTTGACTGGTTGTGACTAAACTGACCTGCTCTAGTTATCTATGGTAAAGGGATTAAACTATGTTGCAGCTTTGCTGTTGCTTGTAATGAAAACTGAAGAGGAAGCTTTCTGGATGCTTGCTGTCCTTTTAGAGAATGTATTGGTTAGCGATTGCTATACCAACAACTTATCTGGATGCCATGTTGATCAAAGAGTGTTTAAGGATCTGTTAACTAAAAACTGTCCAAGGTTAACTCCCTTTTCTTCTGACAATCATACAACATTGCAACACATTTTTAATTCCACTTTTTGTTAAGATTAACGATGAGAAAATGCAGGCTATCCTCTCATTTGAAAACTCTGGAGTTTGATGTTTCTCTTGTTTGCACAGAATGGTTTCTTTGCCTCTTCGCCAAAAGTTTTCCTTCTGAGGTCAAACATCATTTGCTTTGCACCTCTCCTTTTCCCACCTCTTCTTATGTAGATATACGTGTTAGGAGTACCACATCAAAATATTAAATAGAAACATAAGACTACTTGATGTGAGTTTTCTCGCACTTAAAATAGATCGTAGAATAGTGGTGTAAGTACGAGTATCGTCTCCACAGGTATGGTAAAAGGGAATCAGGAATTAATTAAATTCAACGATTAAAAAGAAATAAAATAAAATAAATTGTGCGAGAATGGTTCGATTAGAAAATTAAAATGCAATTAAACGAATAAAATAAATTGGGTTCTTTCTAACTAATGACGAAGGGAACATGGATTGATTCCAGGGTAATCAGATTTCTGGCTGATCAGGCTTAATCACATGAAATTAATTTAATTGAGCCTCGCAAATCATTACTAAGTTCAAATCGCTCTCGCGGCGTAGAGTACAATAATTTAGGGAAACAGACTGATCTCTCATGTGATAGATATCTAAAATTATTGCAAAAAAGAACGAGCGTACGGCCCCTTAATCGTTACTAATCTCTTAGCGAACGATTAAGTGTGTATGAAGGTGTCCTAGAATAAATTAGATCTCTCTTAATTTATTCTACATGCAATTATAATCCTAGTGACCATTCTAAGTTACAAGAGATATCACTTAAATTATTCAAACACAAATCGAATCAAGATTCATGCAATTAATCCATCATGAGTTTAGCCATACATCATGATTCACCCCTTCATCAATCCCAAATCCCTAATTAAAACTTACTCACAACCCATAATTGAAGAATCAATAGAATTGGGAAGAATATAATTAATTGTCATTAATTAAAAAGTAGGAACTTACAAATAATCCAAGGGAATTGAAGAACAAGATGGAAAAGTAGAAGAAATTTCGTCCCTAGGCATCTTTCTAAGCTCCGTCACCCTTAAATGGGAGCACAGAGGCCTTATTTATAGAAAAAGAGGCAAAATTCGATTGAAACTAGGTTTTCGGAGTTCGGACCCACGCACGGTGCTACGCACGGCGTCCGTGGCGTCCATGCGTCCGAAACAAACGCGCGTTTCGCGCCTACGCACGGCGTGCGTAACAGCCACGCATGGCGTGCCTTCAGTAGCTTCCTCGCTTCGGCTCTTATGCACGCACGACGTGCATACTCAGCATGCACGGCGTGCTTGACTGACAGTAGCTTCAGAGTTGTTTCATCTCCAAATTGACAATGCTTCGTTCATGAAAGTTGTAGCTAATGAAGTCCTCTATCCACCACAACTTGCAAAACTGGATTTGGATCATCCCATTAAAAGATATGAATAAAACGGTGGAATGTCGCATTCTGAAATCGCAACAGCGATCATCTGATTTTTTCGTCTGTTTTCACCTTTCTCCTCTCCGATTCTCGGAATAGTGTCTTGATATGATTTGTAGACGTTGAAGTTGTCTTTCACATGAAACTTGAATAGTGTCCTTTGGATGTTTCTACAAAATGATATGCTTCAATGATTGACAGAAGGTCACTCTAAATTCCGTTTTCAAGCTCTATTCGTCTTCATTCGATCTCGTAGTCACTCCTAGAGCTCTCTTGTCGTTAAAACTTCGTTGTAAACCTTCCGGTGACCTCTAAAACTCTCGATTCATTCTTAAATGCATCTCGAATCATCCCGATTGCTTCTCAAGCGCTGATGTTGGGTTCAAATCCCTGATTTTGACTCCAAACAATACAAAACTCGTACCAACGTTCGGTAAACATGACTTGAACTAAAATTGAGATTTAAAACCCTTAAAGCTAGGAAAAATCATCAAAAGCTGATCCCAACACGCATCAACTGCGTGTTGTAATACGAACTTATCAGATTCATCCACAATTAAGCTTTGCTTGTCCTCAAACAAACTGAACAACGGGACTTACGATAATCACCACACGAAATTAAAATCATTAGCAGGCACACTTAGTCAGAGGGATATTCACGAACTAGAAAGACTAAATCGAGAAAATTCTCCCCTAAACTACATCTTTGTACTCTGGCTAACTCAAACGACAAAATTATTCACAACCCTTAAAGCAATGGCTGCAAACACTAATGAACTAGCCACTGATCAGAAGGACTTGTGAACTTGTGAAGGCGGTGGTGAATGGTGAACGGTGTGGAATAAAAAGTTCTTTCTTTGAATGTTTTGGAATAATCTGACAAAAACTTAATGCGTTCAGGAATTTTAGGTCTATTTTTCGGATTAAGGAATTTAGTAGGACACAAATTAGGAACTATCATCTAAACCTATGCAAAGAGTAGACATGGTGTACAACTAAGCTAAACCGCTGCGGCACATTGGTGCTTTGACGTATACTTGAAGTACGCGAAGGACTAATGCTAAGTTTGCAATAGCCTTCAAGTTCAATTAATTAAGATCAGTTTTCCTTGTCATGTTGACACGAGAACGCCATTTCTTTCGAAAGACCCCCAAGTTTCATCATATTGTGCAGAACACTTACGCTTTTTGATCGGGTCTCCCATTCTCTTTTTCGCAAGGTAAGAAGTCTAGCTATATTAATTATTTTTTTTTTCAATTTTTTCAGATTTTCACTAAACATTACCCCATTCTAATCTCGGCCTCAATAAGGAAAATTAGCAATTAAGATTAATTTAATCAAAGTGAATCCGTGCCTACAATGCAATCCTTGAAAATATCAAATTCCTAAAAAATGACTGCTCTTACAGAAACTTCGTAAACTTAGCAAATTAATCTCCTATTTCCCTAAACACCAAGATTTTGTCAGAAGTATTCACGGGTCAAGAACATTATGGCCATATGGCTATAGAGCTCAATTAATTGGGTAAAGAATAAAATGGTCAGACTCAAAATGGCTTCTCCTAAAGGATTTATTCAGGCGGGGTGGATGATTTATGAATTCAACGGGTGACTAATGCCTTCATCCTCTCAATAACTAGCTCATCGTGCAACAATTTAAGCCTAAACACATTAAGGATGTTCTAAAAATATAGTCAACTCACTAGCCAGTTCACAAAGACATAGTTTAAAGAAAAATTTTCAAAAATTTTGACATGACTCCCCTATGAATATACCACTAACACCTGCACATGCTAACTCTAATAATCTCATGTTATGACTACTGTCCGAATGCCCAATTCACTCCTCCACACTTAAACTTTGGCATCGCCCTCGATGAAAAAAAATGCACTATGCACAAGGGGGTAAAGAGGAAAGGGTCACACGTGCTCAAATTCAACTCAAGTCAATATTATAATTAGGCGATTATAAGAGTCGCAGAAACTTCCCTAAGGCGTTGGTCGGTGCAGAACTAAACTAAGTCAAGTGATCCTCGGCACATCATCCTCAAAGCAAGACCATGAGCTGCAAAAACAAAACACAAACACAAAAACAATAACAGAAAACACCCCAGATTTTTTTTTCTTCTTTTTTCGGGGGTTTTCTTGAAAGCAAACAAACAAAGACAAAAGTGCAGAATTAAATTTGGGTTGCCTCCCAAGAAACGCTATTTTTAACGTCGTTTGCCCGACGCAACTACCTCATATGCTCTCAAATAGCAAAGGCTGCAGTGGTGCACTAATAATCAACGTCTCCAGCTTCCTCTCAACAAATGCCATTAGGTGTCGCAGATCTTTAAATTCTTCAGTGCACGTAGGTAGCATATGGTCTTCATAACCCTCATCAGCACAGAAGTGAAGAGCTTTTTCCCGAAGGAGGGTACTTTTGAATCTTATTTCTCAAATCAAGGTAATTTTTAACTTATTTCCCAAACAAGGGGAGTTTTTGCCTTGTCATCCGGTCATACATGCCATGTCAGTATTTAATGCCAAAGTTGATCGGCACGAAGAATAATAAAGTAAAAACAGTGTGGTTGAGGTTTGTGCAGAGGAGAGAAAAATAATAGAAACCACAAAATAATTGATTAAAAGGGAAAGTGTCAAAGTTTTTTGGGACGTCCCAAAAAGGAAAGATGACAAAGTTTTAAGAGACGGAGGGAGTACTTTTTTAGCATAAATCGGACATGTCACTAATTCCACGTCATTTATTTAATTTGCTGGCCATATCTTAATTTCAGATTTCTGCTAGTTTAAAACAATAAGGGCCCAACGGGATTCGAACCCGGGTGAGCTGATTAACGCCCCAATTCTAATGCCACTACGCCACGGTAGTCACTTGTTACTTTTTATTCTTTAAACTTATTTTACTCATCAATTTGGTTCACATGAATGAAAAATGAAAAATGTAACTATGGCGTAGAGTTAAACTATTGTATTTCTACTCCTGGATATCACAAATTCATAGCTGCATCACTTACTGATATGCATTTGTTCATCACAAAAAAAGTATGTATAACAAATATTAGAAACACACCAACAACATACCCATTTTCTTAAAAAAAGCATTAAATAAGGCTTTCAACATATCATTATAATAACCAATACATCCATCATCCAAAAAAAGAGTACCAAAGATTACAAATAAACAAAAAATAGAGTTCACTAATATTAAAAATATGAGCATCTGTATGTGACAAAGGACCACAAGTACTGATGTCGGGAAGCGCATGTCGAGTTCACGTTTGCCACCATCTACACATAAAAAAATATAGTGTTAGCATATCACATACATATATTACAAATACAATTTAGGATATAAAAATGCAGCAAGTTAACAAAGTAATATGAAAAAAAGTGATCTCTTACCTAATTAAAGTAAGTTAAAAAATGCAGCAAGTAAACCAAACATGTTCCTTAAACAAAAGTTTGTTAATTAATCTATACAATGATATTTTAATATACAGATATTACGACACAATGCACATATGGTATATATGGTTCATGAGTGTACTAATAAGACTAAAAAATATGGCAGCTTTTACAAATTAGTTAGTACTTATTAGTGTAATATTTATCAGACTAAAATCTACTCATAAGACTACTTTGTATACAAGTTAATTGCTCTTATAATATTCATTACGAAAATTGAGAAT